GCTAGCATCATTCTGTATCTATCTCTATTTAATTTAAAATTTTGTTTCCAGTACTTATCTTCAATTATAACAAAACCCAACTGGGATGATAATTTTGACTGCCACTGTGGTTCTGAACACACATGTAAATCATCATAAAGCTGAGCCCCCTTCTCAGACCCGAGATAATCGTTTCAAGCATTTAACGCATTTGTATGGAGCTCGAAAAAAAACAACCCGAGAATGGAACAAAATCCACTCAAATTTCACTTCATTTATCACGAAATCCATCATCAGCCGACGGCCAGCAGCAGTTAGCCAAGGAGTATGGAAAGTTTGGACGGAGTGAGGCAACCAAGTTACTTGCATTTATTTGATTTTGATTAATCGTCAACGAAATTAAGCGGAATTCGTGGATGAGCATGAGCTGAGCTGCTGAGCCCGTACTTGCAGTTGCTTGCTAATGGAGTTCAGTTTTTGGGCCGGCAGGAAACTGCATTTACATACAGCACACGAAAGGCATATGTGTATCCCTCAGATACATATCATTTCACTTGCCCAGGGCCCCACAGCGAAAATTCCATGCCAATGTTTTGACAAACAGCAGCAGCTGCCGCCTACTCAGCATTCAGCATATCCGCATCTTCCCGCTGCAGAATGCAAAAGAGGAGCGGAGTGTATAACTCGGATGGATGGATGGCTGGTTGGGATGGTTCGGATGGTTGGGGAACCCAGAGACCTGAGGACGGACGCCTTGCCTCGCCTCGATCGTCATTTTCACGCCCTGTGAGAGGCACACATGTGTGCTCCACACGCTGGCGACAGATCGCATCGGCTGATCCGCACTGGATGGCAAAACAGGATATGCGGACGCTGCACTCGAACCGCAGCGGAGCAGCTAAACAAACATATCTCACTTGGAAGATGATATTTGATTAAGAATTAATACATTAATCTGTAGTTAATCGGGGAGTGACAGGATGTGCTGCTGACTAACGATTCTCGCACTTTTAAAAATAACTAACATACTGCAAAGATTAAATCTTCTATTCATATATCATATTGCATTATAGAACTAAGAATTAATGTAACACCTCCACCTAGCTTAAGACCTAGACCTTAAGACCCATAAATAAAGAAGCACCAAAGAAAATCCCTAGAGTTTTAAGAAACTTATGATTGACGAAACATTATAAATTACAGACTTCAAAAAGGTTTCAAAAACGTAAACTCCATAGACTAAGGTTCTTGAAAAAATATCTCTTTCTCTTTTGAATAATAAAAAAACCCCATATTGATTTCAGCGGAAACCAGCTAAACTGTTTATTAGAAAAATGTAACGTTTCATCTTAACTATTCATGTAATTATATATTATTTAAGCTTCTAAGATTTCTCTTGTTTTCAACACGATACAAACTATCATTCCGTTATGCAATTTTCTCAGAACGAATCTGAAATGAACGCTTCACACTTCAAAGTAAATCCCCTTAATAAAGGAAGTACAGCAACCATATCATATGCCATTGTACTCTAACGTTTAGCTGTGCCCAAGTAAATCAGGTTTTATATGCGATTCCGAGAATAATTCGTTAATCTTTCATCTGATAAGCGCATCTCAATGAGCAGCCACATTTCATTATTGTATTCAAATTGAAGATCATGATTCGCCGGCTGTGCAAGTCAATGCCAGAGTAATCGCCGATTCAAAACGAATCCACGTAGATGATGAGATATGGCCATTCGAGGTAGTACGGGTAGTGTGTCGCCCTGTTCCGTCTGAAGACGCGACTGATGTCTAGTCAGGGTTTTTCTGCTGATCGGTCAGAACGCATCGCTCGGAAGGCCCGACAAATCAATGACCCCCTTCTTCTTTGCGTGTGCATGCGGCCGAGGAAAAATCGACAGGTTGGCATTTAAACGTAAATTAAAAATACAATTTCGCTGAGGAAATGTGCAAGTGAAAAGTGCTAGCCGCAGCAGAAAATATAAATTAAATGTATGTTCGACACGGGGCTACAGTTAGGCTTTTGTTTCTAGCATACATTTCTTTGAAAACCTTTTAATAATGCGCTGAGGCGGCTAAAAACGCTAGGAAAACGCATCCGAAATGCAGCCACACGCTCGTCGTAAAATGAAACGTGCGCTTATGTATTCGACGGCTATGCTATTTATTTTGTTTTTGTGTACTATTATTATTATAACTATTTTTGTTTGTTTACGCGAACAGGCGGCAGACGACAAAATTGATAAGATTAGCTGGAAAAACTCGGGAACTACCAAACCTAGACGACCCTAAACAGCGGCCTGTCGAACGGTCGGTCGGTCGGTCATATACCTGGGAATTAGTATTTACTGCCCCCCAAAACCCACACTTCCACGGTCTTATCAGAATACGTCGTCGTCCGTTCCTATCAGTTGAAAAGCACAATTTGTTGGCTAGGTGATTCCACGAAACATTTCGAGTACTTCGATTCCATCGCAATACCATCGCTAAATGGAATCATGACAAGTCTGCACTTGGCATATGATGATGGAAATGGAACTGGGTCTCCGCTGTCCATCGAAGCTTACCATTTCAATCAAATGCCGACTTGCTGTGAAAGGTTTTTCGGGGAAAACTACTCGATGGCAAGATTTTCATTTCTGGGCCGTGGGTGTGCCTTTTCGACTCTTTGTCTTTGCCTTTCGAACGACAACAATGCCCACATCAAAAGGTGTTTTTCGTATTTGTTGCGCTTTCGAGGGTTTTTATCTGGTTGTGTCTGTTGTTTTTCATTTGTTGCGATTTGTCATGGGCGCAACCGAGTGACCAAGGGGACGGTAGCCACCCGTGGCGAATTTATTATTAAGAGACCCAGTCTGAGTATGCGACTGCACAAAGCAAATCAAATACATAAGCAGGGGGATCTGCACCTGGACGGATGCCCAGACGATTGGCAGGCGTTTATAAGCCCCAGCGAAATTAGAAACAAACAAAATACAGTGGTCATTGGCTAAGAATTATTTAATTATTATAAAGTAGTATAACTATATACCAAAATAGAACACTGGTCCCAATTTTTAAAAGGTATTTTAATAGCTCATCAGACTGGATATTTATATTTATGTCATTGCGATAATCCATAATCCCAAAAAATATAGCACTCAAATAAATATAAAACGCTCATGGTCATCTAAAAGTACTAATAACAGCTTGATTGCTTTGCATAGTATTTACTAATTGCAATGGTAATCTGGATTAACAAGTTTTGAAAAGTCATATAAAATATTATATGTGGGTTTTCATTAAATATGTGATAATTTATTATTATTTTATTAAACTGCCTGTCATAAATTCTGGCCAAATCTAAACTTATAATCGTAACCCACTATATTTGAATATTATCAGAGTGAATAGAAGATCAAACAATGTGTTGCTTTAAGAGGATGAAAGGGGATTATATCAGTGTGTATCTACCACGAGCGGTCGTAAAATTCATTTGGCTGTCTAAGCCCAAATCAAATGCTCAGATGCATATCAAAATAATCTAGGCAAATGAAATGAAATGAAATGACAACAAAGTTGGGCACGGAAAAAGGCATAAAATATGTGCGTACAACACCCCAGAAAGGAGATGGAGAAAGGGGAACCCATAAAATTGACAGCTGATCTTTTTCTCTCCCTTTTTTCCATGTTTTTGGGTATCCACTCTTCAAACAAGGGGTGCCCGGACTGTGGTTCTCTGTATTCTCTTCGTATTATTTGTTCGTTTTCCAATCTTTTTGGCTCGGTTCTACCTGCTCAGGGTCATAAAAAATTAAGAAAAACATGCACAACTCCAGAGAGAAGCGGAGAAACGTCGCATATTTTAAGCCGATGGAATCTCCTTGGGCTGGTCAGGAGACCCGAGATCCCGATCCCAGACACACTTGGCATAGAACCAGAGTCCCGAACAACAAAACGCAATTAGAAAACGAATTTCAATTGAAATCGGGTGGGGGATGGTCGAAGCGGAGGGTAACCAACAGGATATGCCCAGAGATTTGTAATATGAGCGCTGCATACTTATGAGACCATGATCATGCCGATGATAATGGCACTACTATGATGATGGCCATGTCCGCCGATCCACTGGCCGATAAGCGACAAGTCTCAGCCGCAGTGAAAGCTTCGGGGAAAATCTCCCAGAGAATCGCAACTAAAACTATAAATGGCCAAAAGCCAACTCCCAAGATAAATGGTAATAAAGGAAACCGATCGAATGGTAAATACTCCTCTTTTACGATGCAATGATTAAATAAATACTATTTTTATTGAGTTGAACTGGTAAGCTCACTCGTTTTATTTTAAAATAAGGATGTAGTTGGTTTTACAGCCCAGAGGATCATGATAAGGCAAAAACCTGGTTTGTATTTATTTAATAGTATCTGCTAAAAGCTCTTTTCATATGGGTTTTTTATAGCTTCCTGTAGTGGTATTAGGTCTCTACAAAAATAAAAATCCAAACTGAACACACGCAAGTTGTAAATAATATTAAAACTTATAAAACTATTATTTATGATATTTTTGCTATAATAACCAAATCTATAAATACTTTTAATACTTTATCAGCTCGGTGTTTTTATCTTTATCATAACGGTTCTTATCTTTGTCATACTAACATGATGTGATAATAAACATTTAAAAATTGAGTAGTCGTTATCAAAAATTATATTGTTTTGGACTTTTTCCTCTATATAGGGAGATTAGGGTCTTAAAAAAATGAACTGTCATTTTCGTATTTTTAGTAGAATTCGCATGCATGGTGTAGTCTTTTGTTGGCAATCCTTTAAATATAATGTTACTTAAAAAGTCTTTAGTGGACTAGAATGCTTTAATCATATATATTTTTAGGAATGTTCCTGTATAAGAGGTAAAGAGAGATACCAATTGAAATTCCCCCCAACCAATATGCCCCAATAGATACCCGGACAATTGTTTTTCCCTTGGTTTCAAGGTGCACGAGAGAAAAAAGCAAAGAAATGTTATATTAATATTTACCATGAGCCTTCTTCTTTCTGGATTTCGGCGCCATGTCTGATGGCTACAACAACAGCAACAGCAACAACAACGACGTGGGCCAGAGGCGCAGCAGCAGCAGCAACAACAATGCTGATGATTTTTATACGGCGGCGGCTGCAATGCAACTTAGTCGTTCTTGGGCTGTTTTTGTTGGCCTTCCTCTCTGTATAGAGACGGGGATCGGTATCGGGATCCCGGGTGTTTTGGGGCCAGTTTCCCCCTCAAGTCCCCTCTTTTCCGGGGCTGTGCAGCAAAACAATAAACGCGAGGCAGGCAACAAAAGCAAAACAAAAGCACCAGGAGAACTGGATTCGTTGTATCTCGCGCTCGCTGTCTTTGGCTGGGTTTTCTGGAGTCGGTGTCGGGGTCTTCGAAGACTTGGGTTTGTTTATAGGCAGGCAGGCGGCGGTCAAGCCGGCGACACCATGGAGCCCGCGAAGAAGAAGCAGAGAGGCGAAATTATGGGTTTCGCCAAAAACAAAAAGAAAAGAAATACTCGATCCTGCTCCTTTTGCCAGGTCTTCTCTTTTCCGATTTGCTTTAGCCTGGTGTGAGCGCGTGATCACGTTGATTATAATTATATACGAAAGGTGGCAATACAAATCAGGTGAAACTCAATCCCCAGTTAAGGCATATCCTGTGTTTAGTCGTTATTATTTATGTTTACACTGTTTGGATTGTTGGCACTGTCACTTGTTTAATTCATAGATATATGAGGGCTTTTATATATTCAAATCTTTTATTTTTTATAAAGCCTTTTTAGCACTTTTATGTTTGGTTTTTAGTTACCAAAATATCTGTATAGCCACCGAGGTTTTTAATTTCTTGTAAAAACTCAAAAATATTTGTTTTTCTTAGAGACACAAAAAGAAATTCGACGAATTCTGGGATTGTATCTCAAAATGTGGTTTGTTTGAACAATCCGGTGGATACGTCACGACTCGCGGAGAACGTATCGACGAATGTGCAACAGTTGAAAACGCCGCTGCTAGTAGACCCGAAAAAGAGAGGGGAGAGAGTGCGCTGCTCTCGCGGAGAGAGTAAAAACGCGTGAGTGTGTGGCTACAAAGCGTTTAAAATCGCTTGGGTCCCTCATTTTCAAGCGTTTAAAAACGCGCGAGAGCTAAAGATACTTTTTGTATTCTCTCCGCTCTTTCTTTCCCTTAACATTTGTTCTTGTTTTGTTCTCACTTGAATTTCAAGTTTTTTTCATCCAAAGGTGTGTGCGTGTGTATCTTGATCTTTGAGTTAGCATCGTTGTTGCTGCTATTATTGTTGTTGTTGTTCGTGCTAGTATTTCTTTAGCTGCTTATTATAACTGACATATCTAGATGGGGAGTACATATAGGGGGAAATATCGGGAGAATCGGAATCGCATGCATAATTGCAGGGCCCTTTTGCATGCATGCATATGAGCTCGGAAATAATAACAGTTTTGGTCGAATTTGTTAGCGGGCAAACGTGTGATTAACAGCAACACCATTGCCAACTAATAGCACACCGCCTCCTGTTCTCCCGAGCGCATCCATTAGATATCCGTAGCATTCACCGAGATACAAAGATACCAATTGCATCCCCGCAATATCAGTTTTCCAGCCTCTGCGCACTCATTAGCCACACAGTAGTCCGCGGCTAATTATGGCCTAGACTCTGAGGTTTCCATTCTTCTACCTGTAAAAATCAGCAGCGCTTAGCACTTCGGCTTTCTTCAGGTAACTCCTGGCATTAAAAACGCATTTGAACCACCGGACAACCTCTGTGATCCGTGCATAACTTGCTCATTTATGGACCGCGATAGCACCCAGCAGAATCAATGCCCCCGAACTTTAGCATCCACCTCTGTCTGTATCAAAGCCTAACCATTTTTAAAAACTTTTCATTAAAAAAAACCTACATTTTAGCGAAAATAATTGCGATGATTGTATCTTTCAGTATTTTTGTGTACTATACCAGGCTTTCCTTATAAAAATAAAATATTTAAGGTTATATTACTAATATAATTTGAGTTTCCTTGATTGTAAGACCTGTTTCTCGCTTTTACATAAATTTATTTATCTGTAAATAAAAATTTCTCTTCGTGCATTTCCACTCGAAACCCAGTGGTGATCTTTCGTTTATTATCACGCCCGCGGCCATAATTCATTTCGATCTGGTTCGGGGTCTGCTCTGCTTTTGTCTAGTCAAAATCTCTGGATGATGCCCCCAGCTCCAGCTCCATCTACAGCTCCCTAAATGCCCGGATTGCGGATGAGGCTGGGCTGCTGCTGCTGCCTCCGAGGTGTGATTTCTCAAGTGTAGGAGTCATGCGGTGCACAGCCAGACGCTGAGAGGCTGCTCCAGAGACAGAGAATCGGTGGAAGGGAGAAGGCAGATGGGGGAAAAGGTAGGAGACTTCCAAAGGGACTGGATCCAAATGGCCAGAGGGCAACTGTTCGTGTACCCCTTTCAAGAGGAGCCAAGAAATCAAGTTGGATCTGGGGATGCCATCAATTGAGTTTAATGGGTAGCAGCATACCATTTATATTTAATTTGTCAGAAGAATTAACAGAGTTTAATATATATGTATGTATAATATGTATCAATATAATTGTTGTCTAATATAAATAAAAGCTATATTACTTTATTTTCTGCTTTAGAGATAAGATTTGAAAAAATAAAATCCTAAGTATACGCACATATCAACTACAAAGTAAATAAGCATTGTTTCCAGAATTTTTAGAACCAATAAAAATCTTATGAATCCAAAGAACTTGAGTAAATGATTCTTAAAAAAGCAGGTTCCTCCGAATTAAAGCAAAACCACTTGATAACCTCCGAGGAACAACCGACTTTCGTGAAAAAATATGTAGTAAATAAAAACAAATAATAATATTTGTATACACTAAATACATCGCTAAATATTATTACAATTCTCAGGATTAATGTACAACTTGCTGATTCTTAAGTTCCACAAAGCTACGCCTACTTTAAAATCATTATCTTTTCACTGGGCCGCCACGCTTGAGAAATTGACAGTTTGAAGTAAAGTGGAATTTGCAGAGTCCATGACTTTTGTGGATCGCAATTGATTAGAGTCAGAACTCCGAAAGTTTCTCTAGCGCAAAATTTCTGAGCGATCCGTGTTAATTTGCGCAATAGGGAACGCGAGGATTTGCTGCATTGCTTAATTAGCACCTGTGCTAAAAAGCCTTTGGTCGAGACTTGGATTTGTTCGTTCCATTAGCACTGCACTGTACTCTTTAATTTGTTTGCCCTAACGTTTGAGTGGAAAATGCGGGGGCCAAAGGTTGATTCTGGCTCGCGCATACATATTTATTTTGGACTCTATACAATGGAAAAGCCATGTTGGATTTTTGAGTATTTCGTGTGAAAAAGTGGAGGTGGACGGGGAAAACACTATTCGATCTATACAATAAACACAAAACGGGGCCCGACACTCCCAGGGAAAAGGCCAGACAAACTGGCGGGCCGAATGTATCTGTATCTGTAACGAATCTGACTGTATCTTTGGGATTATTGTTAGAACTGAGCATTAGATACACAAAGATGCAGAATGGAAACCCTCGGGTCACTGCAACATGGCCAACAGATGTGCGCAACAGGCTCCCAATCAACGAAATCACCAGAAATCAGGCAAAACACAAAGGTCTCGGGAAAGGTCCAAGATGTCACTTGGAGTGTGGCTGGGCCCTAAATCAAAGTCAGGCCATGCTACCCGATTGTTCTCAGTCCCTTTCTTGTTTCTTTCTTTTGGCCGGTAGCACTGTCCAGCCATCTCATGGATATACCAGTCTGTGTTGTATCTGTATCTCTGCAGCATGGAAATTTTCGTATTGTACCAGAAATTTGTGTCAACGTGGGCGACACTTTATTGTGTGTGCCCGTGTTGTTGGGTGTGTGTAAAAATAAACCAAAGACATTTTATGTTGTCAGCAACATGTGGAAAAATGCTCGGAATTCGTTCCATTCTTGCACACTTTTGCAATGAATTAAAATCTGATAGATACACACACACGAAAAGCCGAAAAGCAGATCAGCCTGGCAGCCTTCATTAACACCACCGCATAATCTCCTCTTCATCAAAAACTAAAGTGCAATTAACCAGACACCAACTCATTTTCGAATCTATCTCAGGCTCGCTTCGGTTCTTTTTTTTTACTCCTCTCTGCTGCACTTCACGGTTCCAAGGTGAGGTGTTAAAGGTGCAATTAACCAGACACCAACTCATTTTCGAATCTATCTCAGGCTCGCTTCGGTTCTTTTTTTTTACTCCTCTCTGCTGCACTTCACGGTTCCAAGGTGAGGTGTTAAAGTTTTATGGAATTTCAACAGCGATAAATTATAATTACACGCAGTGCTGGGCATAAATCTACCCACTCACACATACACACCGGGTTAAGAAGCACACAGATGCCCTTCTGCCACGTCAAACATACTTTGTAAACGCATTAAGTATTCCCCCTTATTAACACCTTAAGAGGGTGACTGCAGCCCAGCGGCTTTATAAATAAGTTTTATTGCAATCGGAAAACTAAAGGGAAGGTCTTCCACAAACAGATTCAAACTGGAATCTAACGAAAACCGTATGCGGCATTTGGCGAGCGTCGCTCACCGTCCTCGATAGTATAGTGGTTAGTATCCCCGCCTGTCACGCGGGAGACCGGGGTTCAATTCCCCGTCGGGGAGATGTTGAGAAACATTTTTTTTTTGCTTCAAATAATTTTGTTGTTGTTCTGTCTTTATTCTGCTTATGTCGTTTTCATTCTTAAAAGAGTTCTTTCGTCTAAAATATTGATTGTAGTTATTGAAGGCGCAACCATGTCTATGCTGGTGATTGGTTAGCTAATTCAATAAAGTAAATTTGAAAACATTAGAAAGGTCTACATATTGGATGCTTTATCGTTCTGTTTAAAAACGGAACGTTTATTTAATTATCCCAATATAATGCTTGCGCTAAAATATTTTATACGTTTGGCTAATCCAGCTAAGTTAGTTTAATAAAACAAATCTAATATAATATAATAAAAAAAAATGTTTTTCACATCTCTCCCCGACGGGGAATTGAACCCCGGTCTCCCGCGTGACAGGCGGGGATACTAACCACTATACTATCGAGGATGTTGACCTAAGCTTGGCAAATTCAAAATATGATTGTGCGGACTGTGATTTTTGTAAAGGAGTTCTAATCTTATTTTTGGACATTCAACAATTTTTGTATGAGATGAGATTATAAACCTAAGGGAAAACTAGATTATTATTATTCTATTATTTTATCATGCTAATCTTGTATATGTTTTCCACCATTTTTCTTAAAACTGACAAACACCATTTAAAAGATTTGTTTGTAAGAAACTGAAAGTATAATATTTCTATATTGTTGACGAATAAGTTTAAAAAAATAACCAAGGCATACATTTATTCCAAGTTGAAACCAATGCATTAAGAAGAATTAACTTAGTTGTTAGAAAATCTAAGCACCATTCCTAATTCAAAAACTGTCATGTTTACGCAAAAATATTTTATACGTTAGCCTTACCAAAGTTCGTAAAACATTAGAAAATGGAAATAAAAAAATGTTCTCACATCTCTCCCCGACGGGGAATTGAACCCCGGTCTCCCGCGTGACAGGCGGGGATACTAACCACTATACTATCGAGGATGTTGAACTACGCTCGCCAAACACGAAATATGGCTTTGCTGGTCATCTTTATAACAGTGTTCTGCGATCTTTTGTTATTTTTGGACTATCTAATCTTGAATGTTTATGAGATGATGTTATATTACCTGATAGACGAATGTGATGGTTTTTTATATGCGAAAAATGAACTTTACTTTACTTCTCTCACAGAAACTCTATATGAAGTAATTCTAGATTTTACTCTTTTTCCAGACTTACCATTTTCCATGGCTTTGCTCTTCTCGTTGTCGGCGTCTTCAAATCCCTCTAATC